GTCCGCGCTTTGTGTTCACACCCTTTATGCGCTGATTCTAAAGCTGTTAGTTTGATCTCTCTCCAAACAGTATTGACCGAACCAGCAGCAAAAGAAGATCCAAACGCTACACATAAACATCATCGTGAATTCACTCTGACTTTTACTGTTTTGCTTCCACCGCGATGCACAGCTCTCTCTCTCTCTCTCTCTGTACTTCAAGAACAGTTTCCCTTTCTTCATTAATCTCTTGCTTGTTACGCACAAATCTACTGTTGTTTACAGCGCTGTCGGCTGCTGTTTTTTTTCCCTTTTACATTCTTTCGAAAAGAAAACCTCATTTCTGCTGTTCAATACTGAACAAATTTAAACTTTTTAAAATTATTCAAAATGCAAAACGCTTAACCGTGTCTCTAATAAAACCGCTGTAACATCAGAGGTAATGTTCATATGTTGATTAATGGTTTTCTTTCGTTTTTGATGTACTGCAGAATATTTTTATAAAATTCCAGGCCAGGAAAATCACCATCATGTTTTTCTGTGTTTTATCTTCAGCTACTTTGACACAAAAGCATCTGCTGTGACGCTTACACCTGGACCTTGTGAATCGGAATTGAATCGATTCTAGAAATCAGTGACGATACCCAGCCCTAAGCAGGCGCACCTCGCAAACGAAGGGCGTCCTTACTCCCAGCAAATGGGCGATAGAAAACTGATCGGTGCCTATGCCATTCCCAATCCGGTTGTTCAGTCTGACGTCACTAGCCGTGTCTGGACCTAAACTCCGCTGCAGGTCCATATATCAAACGATCACTATGGCATTACTGAGAGTTGAAAAACTGTCTAAAGTCTTTCATCTTTAATAAAATGATCAGCGTTCTGCTCTACCAGGTGTAACAATTGAGTTTAACATCCAGGCATCCATGAAAACGGAATTTATGACATTTAACGGAGTTAGAAGTTAGCAGGGAGTTAGCTCGCTAGCTTCGATCTAAATACAATATAGCATGTCCTGACTGTGGGGTTTTGGAAACAAATTAAAACATACAGCTCTGTTATCACTTCCAGCATAAATGAAGACAGAAAACTAAACAGCAGTGACGTTTGTAGGGTTACTGAAGTTGGGCTAGCTGGTATATAATGATGTGCTACGTGACCGCTAGCGACACAGCTATGTTAGCATATATAAACAAGCTAACTTTTTTTCCACTCGATAAAAGTTAACGTGAGTGTTCTTGGTGGTCAGGAACAAATGTAATCGCATGGCAGGATGCTGTAAAAGGACCACACTTCAGCCAGGAGAACAACTGAGATAATCCATCCATAATACGAGGTTAGTCATTCATATACTGCTGCATGGGCTGGGCTGTAGTTACATCCTAAGGTTTTAAAAACTGAGCTTAAATAAATGATTAGCGGTAATAAAAGACGAGGGAGGTCAACAATGATCACTGACTGTTTTAGGAGCTTTTTGAGATTAAATAGAAGAAAATACATAACATTAAACATGTTAACAACACAAAAGCCATATTAAAGGCAGACTACTTTAGGCCCGGAAGTAGGATTCGTCATGTCATCATTGAACAACCGGATATGCGCTGGCTGACGTCGGCAGTGGCGTGTCTAGAAAATTTTTGTTGGGGGAGGGCCAGGTAGGGGCACAGATTTGGAGAAGGGTGGCAGATGTAATTGGCAGATAATGTTAAAAACAATTCTACCAACCGTTAACCATAATTCAATAACCCTGTAAACCTAATAACCAAATGCGCTTTTAACTCTTATTAGAATGAGATTTTAACCACTACGGTGCAAAGTTTTTAGATACTGCGTTGATAAAGTACAAGAGATACAATCAGTCAGTGTTTACTCAGCATTCAAGGACATCAATATTTGCATAGTATTTTTACTGACATGTAGTGCACATGTTTTGGGCAAAAACATTTTTGAATATTAAAATACGAACATTTTTAACATACAATTGGCAAATTAGCCAATGCCAATGCAAAACCAATGCCTGTTAAAAAAAAGAAGATAATCTTCTCACAAACTGGTGTTTGATTTTGAAACAGGAAAAAAGTGGGGAAACAAATGAAAAGACTAACATTTGAATAAAACCTGAAAGCACGTAAATACATTCTATGCTGCCTTATGGTAAACTTTGGTAATATTAATGTATAAAGAACAACACTGGCTGATGATGAAATACAGTCAGCTGGCATGGTGACACTGCCAGTATTAACCTGCAGGGCTGGACTGGGACAGAAAATTGGGCATTTTGACTACAGACTGGCCCACCAGGTATTAAAGCCATAAAGCCTTTGAATGAAAACAAGTGCTGTGGTGACAGTGATATACACTGTCTTTTTGGTATATGTTTGATTTCTATACATTTTACATCAGATAAAAACTTTGTTCGCAAGATTCAGATAATTATTTAATAAAAGCTAAATATTTTAAATGAGAATAATAAGAAAAGTATTTCTTTGTGCCCCCCTCTCCCTGTTAATGCCCTACCTGGCCCCCTGGCAACACTTTGCTAGAGCCGCCCCTGCACAGTTACCAGCTGTCAGCTACATAGAAAAGGATCCTGGTGTTATTTGTCTCTCAGAAACAGTTCATAACTTCCCTTCAACTCATTCATGTCGCCTAAAAGGTAAACCTGTTTCTCCATCACTGTTCAGCCCTGATGATTCAGTAAGGACATCTCCTGGTTTCATCCTCATGTTTCCCTCTCACCACATATCCAAACCGACATCATGACCAGCAGCTTTTACAGCTGTGCCTCCAGCAAACATCAGCTGATACTAGAAATTAATATTAAATACATTCTAACAACAGCTGATCAAGCTTAAACGTGCTGCTGTTGTTTAGCGCGACATCCGCTGGTTTCCTGTTTCTGGCGCAAAGTGTGTGATAAACAAACAAGAGAGACATCAGCTGATCATTGATCAGTTTCATGATTGAAGTAGCAATAGAAGAGGCAGCTGTAAAGACAGAATAACTCCAGCTTTGTGTCTTTTTCCATCCTAGCTGAAGTACGGGACAAACTGCGTCTCTTCTCAGCTCAATACGAAACGCATAATATTTTCTCTGAATGAGGGACCATTCCATTTTTTAAGGAGCTGTTGGCAACTCTACTAACTAACCTTATGAATAAAATAAAGTTCACTATCAGTAACATCATAGCAACCGAACAGCTGTATAGAAACTCCTCATGCTAGCTCAGGCAGTATGAGGTATTGTAACTGACTGTAAAAAGTCAGCACAACGAAAATAAACTGCACCTAAACTTGGTTTATATCAGACCCAGATAGACTGCAGGTCATAACTTCTTACCTGAAGTTCAGTTCACCTGACACTTGGACCGGCGGCTGCCTTGTGTCTCTCCTCCTGCCTCACCTTCCCTCATCCACCTGTTGCCTCTGTGGAAGCTCTCCCATAGCCACCACCAAACAACTGAGTTATTTTTACACATAACCAGCATCTGGTCAATCCACCACTTCTCATTGTTCATGCCGTTACAAATAAATAAATAAATAAATAAATAAATAAGTCATCAGCCCACCGTGCAAACGTCCGATGGCTAGTCCAGCTATGTTAACTTGTTAATCTTTCGCCGAAAAAATGTTTTCTGCGGTGCTGTCTTTCGTGCTTGGCTCTCCTACCTTTGCTAACATGATGCGCATAGTGCAGAAGCCGGTGCTGCATTCACTTACCCTCGGATATCTGAGCTTCACTGTGAAACCATAATCGTACATTTGATATTTCATTTATTGTTTTAGCTTTGGGGTGGCTGGTTGGGGGTGGTGGCCTGTGCCCCCCCAGGCCACCCCGCTGGACACGCCACTGGACACGCCACTGGACATCGGGGCAGCATGAGTACGAGCAATTTTTTTAATTTTTATTTTTATTTTTTTTTACCGATGCCCGTGATGCCGCCCCCCACCACGATGCCGCCCGTGTCTAAAACCGCTACTGTCCAGGCCATAATTAGGCTGAATAACAAATATAAACCAGTCGAGGTAGAAAACAAACAAACCCACAAGCTGCTTCATTCTTAAAAAGACTGAATGTGCTGACCAGCTCAACAACACCAAAAGGCCTGAATGATCATTGGAAATGGCTACAGTGGGTGGTACAGAATTCCTTAGGTTAAGAAGAAAGTCTTTAAAACATCAAAACAAGTGAAGAACATTGAGGTAAGATTATCATTGTGGAAGTCTATAATGCCTAGAGGATGTTTTCATTCTTGAAGGCCGGAAACTTCTAAAAGAGCGCTATGAAGCCAAGATTAACTTGGGAAGAGAAAGATATGGAGAATGTGAGAAACCACTCATGATGTGAAGCATACCACATTATCTGTCAAACAGGCTGTAGGCAATGTTATGGCATGGGTACACTGCTGATGTGAAGCAGCAGGATGAAATGTGAAGTGTACAGGGCTCTACTCTCTGCTCAGATTCAGCCAAATGCTGCAAAACTGATCAGACAGCGCTTGTTGCAGTGCAAATGGATAATGACAGAAAGCGTACTGCAAAAGCACGCCAAGAGTTTATCAAGCCAAAGAAAAGAGATATCGTTGAATGGAATGAAGTAACACGAGTTCACTCTGAGTCTTCTCACATCATATATCAAAGTCACCACCGCTGGGTACTGCATATGTGCTTTTCTTTTGTAAAAAAGATAGATAGATAGATAGATAGATAGATAGATAGATAGATAGATAGATAGATAGATAGATAGATAGATAGATAGATAGATAGATAGATAGATAGATAGATAGATAGATAGATAGATAGATTCAAACCTGGATTCATTTAAAGTACATTGTGTGAGATTGGAAACTTTGCTTCCTATTTTTTTTTTAATATTTGTGATATTTTATTGTTATTATCATTATTATTTATTTTAATAAAACATTTAATATACGGCTGTTCGTTAAAGACTGTGAAGCAAGCTTTAGGCCTTTAACTATTAGAGTCCTGTCAACAGAAAGTTACGATATAGAAAGGGTGACGCGGCCGCATTACGTCATGGTCAGGTGATTGACGAGGAAGTAAACAACTCCGAAGACAGTAGACATCTCGACGGGGAAAGGTGAGGAGACGTTACACGTTACATTACAACAAGATTTCTTAACATTTGCAGCCTGGGTTTGCTTCTTAGGCAGTTTTGGCCACAGACGGGCTGACTGTTTGATTTTTGACATGAAGTTTGACGCTGTTTTTACGGCTGTGAAGCGCAGTTAGCTCGCTCGGATCTTACGGCCACTACAGCATCAGCAGCATCCTGCTAGCTTTACATGTGATGCTAGAAAACGGGTTCAGTGGTTTAAACTTTCAGTGTGTATCCAGCTGTGTTGTAAAAGGTGAGATAGGAACAAAAACTTGGCTGTCCACATGACAGAGGATGTTACTTGGCTTTGCAGAAGTATACACATTTTCCTGATGTTGTTTTTTTGTTGTCCATTTTAAGGAAACAAAAATGTAAGTAAACTGAGCCCAACTTCAAATAAAATAATAATGGGATGTGTAAAGCCATCGGATTGGGAACTAAATGTAAAATGGGGTTTTTCAGTAGGCTGTTTTAAATTTGTAAAAAAGTGTAAAAAAAAAAAAAAGGCCAACGTTGCATTTTATAATTGTGAAATAATCTGTTACTTCTCTAGTTGTTTAAGTACTGATGGGTGGAAAAGGGTTGTCAAATTTAAAGATGAAACTGATCAAAACTGGTCTGATATTTGTTTGTTTATCCCGTGGTTTTGGATTTAAATACACTTTTTTTTTTCTTCAAATTATGCTTTTTATTTTCTTAATCCATCTGTGACATCTTCAGGTCCAGCTGTCCAGATGACATCCCTTATCTGCACTTTACAACACCATCAAGACGATGTCAACTGGTGCGCCTTCTCGGCCAAGCTGTTAGCCACATGTTCTGGGGACAAAACCCTCAGGATATACGACGCCCGTGATTTCTCCGAGCTGCCTTTTTCGCCGCTGACAGGTCACGGCTACAGTGTCCACTGCTGCTGCTTCAGCACCTGTAGTCAGTTCCTCGCTTCGTGCTCCACAGATGCGACCACGGTGATCTGGTCAATGGTCTCGGGTGAGATCGAGGCTGTGCTGGAGCATCCTGGCCGTAGCCCCGTCAGGATCTGCGCTTTCTCTCCTGACTCTCTCCACTTGGTTTCTGGTGCATCTGATGGCACTTTGGCTCTTTGGGATTTTCCCTCCAGACAGCTGCGAAGGTAAAATTGTTAACCGAGTATCTCTGAAGCTAAATTATTTAAGGGGAAAACAAGGGAACTTTCCCTTGCTGGAGTTTCTTAAATGCTAGGAAGCCTCTATCTTGCAGTGTGACTCTAAATGTCACAAAAAAAACGTGACAAGCATTTTCACAATTTTCTGACTTTTGATAGCAAGATTACATGGAAGATTAGTTGAGAATTAAAATAATTGTTGTTTATTATAAGCTATTGTGTTATCGGCTGATGGTAAATTTAAAGATGTTCTTAACATTAAGACTTCTCAACATTATACAGGTCTGTAGTTTTTGTTATAATGACAAAAATGAGCTGGAACATAAATGTAAACGGGAGTCTGCACCAGTGTTTGCACTGGCCTCCTGTCACTATCAGTTTCCATGTGTTAATAAATGGGAATGATAATAGCCCTGAAGTGAAAAATAAATTGCTCATGCAGCTGCTGTCGGTTGTTTTTGTGAAGGACCGGGGCAGTGAATGACACAACAATGGTAGCCTGCTCCTTTAGCCCCTGCAGTCAGATGTTTATGACTGGCTCCACATACGGAGACCTGCGTTTGTGGGACCTGCGCATGAACCAGCTCCACGCAGAGAAGAACGCCCACGACCTGGGCGTCTCCTGCTGTACCTTCGCTCCGAGCATCCTCAGCGGTGAGAACTGTTGCTGTGCATCAGGGTGTTTTACAGCAGCCTCTGGGAATAAAGGCCCTTACACATTGGACGCATACAATTCCTGCAGATATTTAGTATTTTTTCAAATCAAACTGGATTCTTCAGATTAAAAATTTTTTTTATGTGAGTAAAGAGACACCGATAATAGATGTGACACAACCATTTTATTGATCACAAATAAATAAATAAATCACTAAATAAAATGCAGATAACATTTTTTTTAGTGATCTCACACCATCCCTTGTAGAAGAGTCACCAGAAAGTACACAAGGTCAAATTACTGCAATGCTGTTTGAATAAAATGCCATCGGTGGTGTGATCCGTACACTGCTGCTCTGTTTGGACTTGGACTGATTGTTTATTAGTAATTTTCTTTGTGAGAGACTGAGACTCTCTTTGCATTTTATTGTTTTTGTCTTTCAGGGGGTCAAGTTGTGCAGTTTCGTGTGGCGTCTTGTGGACAGGACAGCCTGCTGAAGATATGGGCCATAAACAAGTTGAGCTCTGGAGGTAGAGTGCGGCGCTCCCTCTCCGTATATCTCCTCTCATTTGATCCCTTTCTGTTGTTATTTTTTACGACCTCTTTGCATATCAGCCAACATTGCAAACCTGGATTTCACGTCCTCTGTTCCTACATGCCAGACTCCACGGATGCTAAACAGCTGTCACAGTAATACCATTTAAGGCAGAATTTGACTATCATGTTGTCATGTGACCCATTGAAGCCTGCACTGTGGTGAAACTGTAGCCTCTCAGTGTGCACTCGTTCAGAGTTTGATGTGTATGCATTTCCAGAGGCACAACGATTCAAATCACTGGTGCTGCAAGTCCAAACGAGCTACCAGTTTTTTTTATGCTGTTATTAAAATTAACTGCAGATGAACTGTTTGTACTTCACTCCCCCACCTTTCTTTCTTTTTACCTTAAAGAGACTCTTTATTTCTGGATGTTACCATCTAATCCTTAAACTGAAAACAGTCCAGCTTGCTGTGTATTTTGATCTTTGTGCAAATGTGATTTATCTTCCGCAGCGTATAAGATGAAGCTCCTGCACACATTAACTGGCCAATCAGCTCCCGTCCTTTCCTGTGCGTACTCCTCAGATGGGCAGCTACTTGTGTCTGGGTGAGAGCTCAACTTTACTTTTCAAAACATCTGCTGTCTAATTGTGTTTAATAATTAAATTAATAATACTTGCTCTTCTTTACTTTGGGAAATTATTGCATATTAAATTAGGACTTATTTTATGATTTTGGAGTTGGCTTAATGCACCACTCTCTCAAAGTAATGAGATTAATTAAATCTGGTACACTGTGAGGGTAGCTGCCATATAAATTGTACTCAAATTGTATTTGATGGGCCAAAACATGCAGCACATTTACACGATTTCTAGCCAGCTTGATTCCCTCATAGTTTCAAGCTAAATCTATATTTGACACCCCTCGCTTGATCTGAAATACCTCAGCATCCGTGTCTTGATCTATTTGAGATCAAAAGTCTGCTTTGAAATATAGATTGTTTTCCTGGATGTGTAAGTAGGCCACCTCTGCACAAATATAACGGTGCAGTACTCAGGAGCAAACACTAGAGGGAGACATGGACTGCTCTATTTCTTAATGGGTGAACACGAATTTGAGTCCAGCCTACTGTGCTGCATTTAACAGTTAAGCAATACAAATGTTTTTTAGGTGGTTGTAATCTTTTTTTTTTTTTAATCTCATATTTTTATGTCTTTCAGCTCTGTGGACAAAACAGTCACAATTTATGATGCTGTAAGCACTTCTCTTATTCTGATTTACCAAGCGGCATTAGCTTAAATTGTATTTTAAATTATATCTGTCTGGATTGAATACAGAAAGCTCATGTTTTGTTTTTTGCTCATATTGTCTGCAGGAGAATGCAGTTTTGCTTTACAGGCTGAAACAGCACGAAAGGTAAACATTGATTTTCACTGACGTGGTGAGGCTTTGTTTGCTGGATTTTCACACTGAGTATAAGCACGACTTTGTGTCACAAAGACGATACTGAAATTTTCTCCCAACTTGCCAGGCAGAATTCTTTTCTGTTTAGTTCGTGATTTGATTCTGTATTTCTGTATTCTTAAATTGATACGTCTGATGAAACTAGAAATTACAGCATACAAAATTGGCCACAATGTAAGATTTTGAATATTTAAAATAGCTAAAGTTAAAGCTAATGATAAAATAATTGAAGTTACTGTGATCATTTTTGCACTATTGGTTTTGTCTATATTACTTGCTGTGGTTTTATACAGACCTGAGCTCTTGTTTTTAATTTCTTCTTGCAGCAATTTGTAAATTTCTCCATAAACAGTGATGTAGTTGCTGCATAACACTGATGTAACTGATGGAAATGACATAGGCACTTAGCCATGTTGCTTTTATATAGGAATAAAACCAGAATAGCCAAGTGGTTGTTTTTACAGAGAGACCTGTTGCAGATGAGTTGTGATCATGAGCACAGACTCATTTAGCCTGATTGCAACATGTTGGCAATCTGGTTGTTTTTATGAATTAAACTGGACTTATTCAAAAGTGTTTGGAGTCAGTCTGCGACCTGTGCAGTCGCTTCATGATCAAAAGTGGTCAGGCAGAAGTTAAGGGTGTTGGACACTCATTCTCTGGATGACCAGATGTTTGCCACAACTACTTGCAAACAGTCTCAGACGGTAAACAGTTGAGTGCAGTCACCAGGTAACCAACATTTCTAGTTGCATGGAGGTTTCAATCTTGTTTTTATCATCTTGTGTGGCTGAGCGATGAAAGAGGTCTATACGGTTTCTCCGTGGCAGTCAGTTATGTAGAGACAGCCAGATTCATAATAATATTTTCATGTAACCTTTAAATTATTACAAAATCTACATCTTTAACAGGCGTTTGGGCTCCAAGTCATCATTGTTGACAAGTATTCTGACTCTAATCTCTATTCAGAATATGTGACTGTTGGCCATCAGTAGATAACGCACATCAAAAACTATTGACTTCTTTTCTTTTTTCTCACTAAAACAGGGTTAGGGGTAGCTAGGGTTCTGCAAGAATATTCTACTGGAAATAGTAGGTACTGGATCTAAATCTCTTGCAGTATGTTTTTGCCCCCTAACTGGTGCACAACCAGGTGTCAAGTCTGCCCGTGGCCACCACCCTGCTCCGCCCCTGCTGGTGGACAACGCGTCTGTATAAAAGAAACACAAAATTCAAAACTCATTAAGTCCCATGTTTGTGGGGAAAGCGATAGCTGAAACTCCGCCCATGATGTGATCTACATCAGCGGTCCCCAACCCCTGGGCCTCGGACCGGTACCGGTCCATGAGTCGTTTGGTACCGGGCCGCGAGAGTTGAGGCTCAGGTGTGAAATGTATGGTTTTCAGGGTTTTCAGCGTTATTTTGTTATCGTTTTTATCGTTAACTCGGTTTTCCTGGGTCTTTTCACGTGTGTTATGAATAAATCTTCTTTTTTTCAGTACCGGTACTAGTTTTATTTTGTTGTATTTATCCGCGACACCCTAAAGGCCGGTCCGTGAAAATATTGTCGGGCATAAACCGGTCCGTGGTGCAAAAAAGGTTGGGGGCCGCTGATCTACGTGATTAAAACGGGTTGTGTTGCATTGTTGTCCCTAAACTTGTGTTTTTTTTAGAAAAAGGTAAGACTACTCTCACTCTGTCCCTCCCACCCACGCAAAACCCACAGCTGAACGATCACACTTGCATGCTATTTATACGTCCATCCAGCCACCTGTGTCTGAAAGGCAGCAGACTCCTTTCAGCGGGGCGAATGAAAGTCGTTTTGGAAAATCACTAACTGAAGAGGAAGCAAGCGGCAAGTTGAGGAAAAGTGGATAAATGGGGAAGAAGTTTTTTCATTACTTGACAAAATGTCTTCAGGAAACTGCTTTGAGTTAGACAAACTGATGATACAACATTGTGAGAGTCTCTTAGGTCGGGTTAGTGCGTGCCTCTCTTTCAGCTCTTTTAATCGTAGAGATATTTGTGTGAAGCCAGCTAGCTTTTGTGGATCATCATTTCTCAGCAATCCAGCTTAGGTTCAAGAGAGATTGGACTCATTAACGCTGCCTTGACTTTACTGAATCCGCTGAGAATTTGATTTTAATCCTTATTGAGATGCTCAGTGCGGCTTTCAGCATGGTAAGCCTTCACTGAATTGGTCCTGATGGAGAGCATTTTTATCACTGTGACATATGTAGCATCAAGCCAGAATTAAAAAAACTTTTGGCCATCTAGGAAGCAACTGCAGTTTTAAAGCTTCAAGCAGACCTATTATGCTTTGTCTTATTTCCTGTTAGAATAGTCGATGCTCATATTAAAGAGTCAAAGTTCCAGATAATGAGGCAAGGATGTGTCCAAGTAATCCCTGTCAGCTCAAACTAGGCTTCAGCCTAATCACTCAATTTCAGAGAGGTTTCTTTTTCCTACTCTTTGCTTTTGCATGAGGTCAGAGAGCATGAATGTGCTCATGTCTTCAATTCAGTTAATTTTCCTTATTAGAGGGCCAAATCACAACAACGGTCACCAAGGTGCTTCATATTGTAAAGTAAAGAAACCCCAACAAGTACACAACCCCCTATGAGAAAGCACGCTGGCGACAGTGGGAAGGAAAAACTCAATTTTAACAGGAAGAAACCTTTGTCACTTTCTCCAGCAGAAACAGGCTCAGGGAGGGACAGCCATCTGCTGTGACCGTTTCTTATGACAGCTCTCATGACAGATCTCTTATCAAGCTCCTCCCCCAAGCAGACATTCAGAAGAAAGTTTCCTTAAAGTGAAAGAAAAGGAGCTAAAACGGTTTGTTTCAGACAGTGCACCAAGCCCCAGTGTAAGATTAATCAGGATTATTCTGAACTGTGAATCATGCAAAGCTACTCTAGGCAAGTCCAGGTATTAAAAACAAGCAAACATGCAATTGGAAACTGACATCAAAGATTCCCTTTAAGTCATCGAGCTGCTTAGCAGGACTGAGATGTGGTTCTTTCCACTTTGACTTCTGAATTACTGATTTTAATAGACTCTGTTTGAGTGCTTGTATAACAAAGGTTTACTCAACGTCTTATTTTTCATTTTTCTTTTTACATGTAGTTTAAAATAAGGTAAAACTTTGTGAATTTCCTTCAGAATTATTAATGCATAGTAGTATGTGTATGTGTAATTTAATTTTAAAAAGTAGTAGAAAATAAAAACAATTATCAAGCTGCTGGAGTAATTTGAAATCCAAGGTAATCATTACGTTCGTGTATGATTCTTGGAAATGATTGCATTGATGTTGAAAATGTAATCCCGCCCATTGACATCGATGTGATTGTGTTATTGGCATAATTGTTGTCGGTGAATCATGCATAAGCTGTTTGCCTGGTAAATCTGTTCGGACACCTTTCTCTGTCAGTCTGTTATTTTTTACCATATAGAGAAATTATACCTGTATTGTGAATAGAAGCAGCGTTCAGGTGGTTATCCTCTGCTGCAGGTACGTGACGGCGTGCGCCTTCTCTCCGACCTCACCGCTTATTGCTACAGGATCTATGGATAAGACCATAAACATCTGGAGGCTGGAGGATGGTTGCGGTGGAAACGGTAGGGAGGGAAAAACCCACACGCATCACTTTAGAAGAGTCACATCTATGTTTTGATGAGTTGTAAAAATGTTCCTGTAATCTGTTTTTGTTTTTCTCCCTTACTGCACCTCCCCGTCCAACGGAAAGGCGGGAAGCTGTTGCCTGGTTGGTTTTCTTTCTATCTTTTTTTGTTTTTTCTTGTTTGGACACATTTTTATGTCACTTTAACAACAACAACAGCAGACTGAGTACAACAGCAAGCAACACTCAGCAGTAACAGGCCAGCTTTTATTGCTCCTTTTTTGCCAGCTCTGAAAAACAGAGGATTTTTTAAAGACCTTATAACCTTTATATTCTCTGCTGAGTACGAATCAGTATAACCTTTAATAACAGTGTTTCAGCTCAAGAGCATCATTGGCTCTTTTTTTGTGTGTCTTAAGATTTTACATGTTAAAGCAGCTTCGTCTCCTAAAGAAGGGCACAGATGTTGGTTTCACGGTCGCCCTCGTTTCCTCGATCACTCGCCACTCTCACGTGTTTGCAGTTGGCCCAAAGACTTCATTGCATTTCTCATGTTTACGGTTCTTTTTCTTTGTTTTGTTTGTCTTGCAGAAGAATCTGCTCAGACTTCAATCAAAGGTGATAAGACAGCTTTACTGTATTATGTGTTGCAGATATTCTATACAAAAATATTCCAGTCCTGAGACAAAGTGTGCACGAAAGCCTGCGATTGTTTTTGTCCTAATCACACTATTCACGTTTGGTTTCACATTAATCTTTCAAACATTTATTTATATCGCTGTAACAGCCACAGCCTCACGATCAATAAGCAGTCAGCCGGACTCCAGGTTCGCCTTGCATGGAGAATATGTGTCCATTTTTCAAAAGCTGTCTAGGACTGACCATCTTGCTTTGACTCACCCTCTCAGGGAGAGCCTCGGGAGGCCGATCGAAGCTGCTGGTCAGCGATTGGTCGGAGGACGATGTGTCAGAGTGGCTGCTGGAGGAAGGCCTCGAGGGATTGGTGGACAGATTTAAGGCCAATAACATAGATGGGACAGAGCTGCTCAGCCTCACCAAGGAAACACTGGCGTCAGAGCTGCACGTCGGTGAGGAAGACGAGCATCACACGCTGCTCAGCGAGAGCGGCGCCGCTTCCCCACTCCCTCCTTTTCCCACAGTCCTAATACTTTCCTTTTTGTCCAGAACAGAAGGATAAAAGCCCAGTCTTATGAGCATTACACGCCGGGTCTCTTGTGAGAATGAGCACGGCCGCGTGCGGATTAGGATTTTTGCACCTATTTACATGGATAAAAGATGGCATATTAAATCAAAGTAAGGGTGAAGGAATGGGTGCTGATGGGGAGGGGGTGGGGGGGGGTTTACTCAGCAAGATTATGTAATATTAGGCTGCACTGGGAAACCACTAAGCTTTAGGGACCTTAGCGGTTCGGACGTTTAATCTGGAGCGCTTCTTCAGTTACATAACCCAATCATCAAAACAGAATTCCCCATACGGTATAAAGTGGATTTATACCTAAGCCCTATTGGTTATTTCCAAGTCTGTCTGAATGTATTATTTTTAGTTGATCAGACGCTTTTGTTTTTTTTCCTCCCCCCTTTCACCATCAAGTGAAACCGCTCGGCAAAGTCGGAGCGTTATGTTGTCGATGTCAGTCTACCAGCTAGGCCTGTGTTCGTCACGTAGTTGTCAGCAAATGTTTGTTGCATTGCCGTGCCGTCATTTTCATCCCACAGTCGCTGTCAATCACTCCTCGCCGTGGCAGCTCGCGTTCACATTGTTCTGTTCTTAGTAACGCCGCGTGAATCCCACCTTGCTTGTAACCAGAACTAACTTGGAGAAGAGTGTTAGAGTAGTAGTCTGTTTTATCTGCTACAATGACAGAGAGACAGAGACGGAGCGCCCTGACGCGTTTTTCAAAGCTGAGAGTGAAATCAATGCCTCTTTGAGAGGAAAGCACACAATGTTTAAAGTCCTTTGTGTTCATTTGCAGTTAAGGCATTTTTTATGAGATTGTTTATTTGTAAACTATAATTTCTGTGTGATGATTTCTTTTTTTTCAAAGTAAAACTGGCCCCCGGGTAGCTGCTGAGCATTTATCTTTGAATTGGACAGACAGCAGACATGGTCTGGTCCCACCACCCTCACCCACGCTCACATTTGTCACCCGAGAGCGCAAAGTGCTAAAGACACGAATAACAAATGCTCAGAGGCTTCATCGTATTGATATTACTGTCAGTGTTTGGGTCAGTTCAGCTTGTTCCACTTGATGCTCAGCTATTTTCCTTTTCCTTTTTTCTTTCTTTCTTTGAATCACTGCACACCGAGTCTTTATGTGCCTCTGTTCTGTGGCTGATGTGTGTCTGTAGAGTCAGTCGGCCTGCGCAGTAAACTCCTGAGGAAGGTGGAGGAGCTGAAGAGTGATTCAGTGTGTCTAGGCATTCCCGATGAGTTCCTGTGTCCAATCACCAGAGAACTGATGAAGGAGCCGGTTATTGCTGCTGGTGAGCTGAGATCATCGATCGTGTGTTTCATCATTACTTTGTGCTTTTTTGTGTTGTTTACACAGTTTTTTCCACCCCAAACAGATGGCTACTCATATGAAAAAGAGGCCATTGAGAGCTGGATTAATACCAAAAACCGCTCCAGCCCCATGACCAACCTCCCCTTGCTGACGACTCTGCTCACCCCTAACCACACCCTGAAGATGGCTATTGGTCGCTGGAAGACCAGCCAATAGACATCTGTGGATCTGAGCTGGCGTGCTAATGATTTTTCACTGAAGTGTAGAGAAGCAGAATGCAGTGCTCAGATAAATGCCCACAGCACCGTTTCAGGAAAAGGTGTGCATGATAGTTAGCCAGATTTTAAACGACCAACCCGAATCAACAATCAGCTGCCTGCTATCACACAGAGGGGGGGAAAAGACCAGCATGAGTATCCAGAGTTTTCAAGAATGCACTTAGCTATTCACTCAAATTCAACTGGCTTTGGCTGCAGCAAATATGTCACTTTTAGGCTGGATCATGTTTTCAATTTCCTCATATTTGGTCCTTCCTGTGAAATCCCTGTTTTGATTTTTGATCAGTGAAGAATGAGGAAAACTATTTGCCTGCATTGCTTTTAATGATTCCCCTAACCTCACTTTACAAATAGGTGACTATTTTGTTATTATGTGAAACTGATTAGCATTATATATTTATATATATATATATATATATATATATATACATACATATATATATACATATATACACACATATATATATACATACATACATACATACATATATACACACATACACATATACATATATACACATATACATACATATATATACACATACATACGTATATATATACATATATATACATATATATATATACATATACACATATATACATATATATATATATATATATACACATATATATATATATATATACATATATATACATAGCTGCTGTGTTGGAACAGCGACGCCAATGTGGAAGTGCCTTTCACCTGCATTCTTTCTATTAGCCAGCAGGGGGCGACTGCTCTGGTTGCACAAATAAGCAAAATTCATAAGAAGCCTGCTAGAAATCCTTCTGCTCTCTTCGTTTATGGGCTCAGTAAACATCTTCCTGATGACTTTATAAACTCAGTCACTAGTTTAAAGTCTTGCTGAATACAAGATGATGCTCATTTGTGTGGCATTTGGCAGTTTCTAACTCCTTTCCACTCCTCACACGAGAAATTTTGGTTCAGAAAAGCCAAGATGGTGAGACCCGAAATGCTCAAGTCCAGACTGGAGAAAGATAGTCCGTGTTTTATATTGATGTTTATTACAACCCTTTTCCAAAAAAGGATGCTTTTTATCATTTCAGAACAATTTCAGATCATTAAAACCATATGATGATAGCATGTCTTTAAACTTTGATGCTTGGAAAAGGTAAAGTTGGGGCATGCTTCCCTCTTCTTTTAACAGCATCAGTTGCTGCCATTTGTGAAGCAAGATGTTCCCTCATTCTTGGTTTATATGAAAACGCAACATCCACAGTTTTAAACAACGAAGTTTACTTCAAAGGCTCGTTTTAATGTCAATTTAGGCGAGTTATGTGAAAGGTCCTGTGAAAGGCCTTTCTCCCACCCACACACCCGGAAGCTTTAAGCAACATTTTATGGAGTAAAATGAAAGAATGAGCTGTAGAAATGTAGTCATCCAGGAATATTTTATTATACCACAATATTAATGTGGTAATATTCTGTAATCCATAGTATGACTCTGAAAAGTGTATATGACAACTATGAACATATATTAAGTCTTAAGTTTCTGTTTTCTCTCTTTATCCCACATTCTGTAAAAGCTCTTTCTCAAGTCTGAATAAACCAATAAACACTTCATATGAATATTTTCTCTGCTATGCAAAAATAAATAACATTTACTGTGAATACTGAAGCAGTCACTTGTAAGATTATGACAAGAAGCTGTCCAACAATGTCATGTACAGTGCCTTTTTTTTGTGTTTTTCTAGTCAAATGCACCAAGAAAAAGGATCTCGGGTACACGAAGTAATCCGTTCTGAAGCCTGTAATGCTAACAGATAACCACTTACAGGGAAATAGATAATCTGCAAATATAGTGTACACCGTACAAATATAAATGTTTTTTAAAAGACACTTCACAATAGAAATGGTCATATCCTGCAACAAACAGCGTGAGGTTTCGTATATTCGTGCACAAAGCTTTCTCAGTTTTCTATATTTGATATTATGAATTAAAAGTTGAGACAATAGACTACTCTTTTTTTTTTTTTTAATTTAAATCCCTACTTAAGGTATGTCTGGTCTTCTTGAATACACTAGCTGTATACATGTAAGCAAAAGCATAGTAGCCTGAGTTGAACACTGGTTCTAGATTGTAAATGCAGTGCAGCAGCATAAATCTACAAAACAGGCTCAGGGAAGGGAGCCGCTCTCACGCCCGTCTCCCTTGCTACCTAATGTGGGACATAGCTTGTTGAAAAAAACCAGCCTGCTCCTGTGCTTTGAGAAACTACGCTCAGACGTTGGATTCTATAAAAGAGCGTTTGGGCTTTATGGGAGCCATGTGCAGAGCTGGGTTGTCTCTCGTCAGGCTCGCCTGCCTGTGCCTCCCCTCGGGGAAGCGTAGCTGGGAGGATGTGGTACCTCTGCCCTCTCGCTGGTGCAGCCGGTCTCCAAACTCACGGCCCTGCTGCTGGCTGTTGCTGTGGCTCACAGAGTGCTGCTCCTGGAATGATGCGTGTTTGAACTCATTGTTCAGCCCTTGGAACTCCATCACGGACATGCTGAAGCTCTCCACCCCTCCTCCCTGCCGGCTCAGGCCAGAGGCCTGCTGGCTGACTCGCACCGCTTTGTCCATGACCCCCATAAAGGGCCGGGGCTTTAACTCAGGTTTTGTCTTGAAGCTACCGCTGCTCTTGATAGGGCACGGGGCATCTGGTGCCTGCTGCCTGCCCCCATCTGACAGGTTCCCACTGGAGGCCTGACTGGAGCTGGAGCCCCTTGAGCCTGTTGTTCCTGCTCCACCACCCTCCCGCCTAACCTCCATACCAGCACCTAAAGCGAGCGCCAGGCCATCCAGAGCCACAGAGTGGGTAGAGAGCCTGTCAGAGCCCCTGGAGAAGCTGGAGGAGCGCGGCTGGTACATCTGCAGAGGTCCAGGTGGGGAGGAGCTGTTGGGAGACATAGGGTGATAGTGCTCAGTAGGACTGAGCCCAGAGTGTTCACAGGATCCAGGGCCGATGTCGATACCCATAACAGGTGCAGGCCTCAGAGAGGTGGAGATGTGTCTACCTGGCAAAGGACTAGAAGGACCGCACAGAGACAGAGGCCTGCCCCCAATTCTGCTCCCTGACTGGAGGGAGTGGCACTGGTGATGAGTCCTGCTGCCCTGGCTCTGGAGTTGCCTGTTAACAGCAGGAACTGGCTCGGGCATGTCCACAAACAGCTGGTTCTGTACATATTCCTCTTGATGAAAGCTTGGCGACTGATCTCCTAATCCAAAGGCCACAGCTCCGGGGAGAGTCCTGTTCGGAGCGTATGGATTCAGAGGCCAAAATTCAGGACTTTTCCCACACTGCAGGCTCACCTCCTCGCCATCTTCCTTTTCTTCTTCCTTCTCCGCATTGGCCTGCTCTGCTGGGATGTGCCTTTCCAGACTTCCCTGTGAAAAGACGTCCGTTTCCTCCTCTGTGGCTTGATGATGGTGGGTGTGAGGGTCCCTGTTGTAACCCTGTGCCGAGTTGTTGCTGGAAAGCTTCTGATGATGCTTACATTCCTCCTCTACTCGTGCCAGCAGGCGTCGGATCTCCCGGTTGGACGGGCAGAGTCGTGCTGCTTCGTGGAGATCTGCCAGCGCTGCAGCAAACTGCCTGGGGAGAACCGAGAAAACGAACAAAAGGAACTTTTTAAAAATACAGAGAGGACGCGGGCCTTTTCTCGCAAGAATTTCCTCTAAGCAAAAGGATTCGGCTCGAAGTATACTTGAATATTGTTGTACCTGCTACTCCTCTTGGCCCGGGCTCTGGCGTAAAAGGCTTCATAAGACCTTGGTTTCAGTTCCAGGGCTTTTGTTGCAAACTCCTCAGCTATGCCAAAGTCCTGCAGAAAAATGCATTTAGTGACACGCGCTGTTTGTATTTCAAATTAAATGTGACGCTGTGACGTGCAGCAACAAATAAACCCCACTGTATGATCAGCTGCGTTTCTAAGTGCCTAGCCTGGAGAGTGCCGGCTCTGCAGAAATAATTTGAGGCCATTCCAGTAATAAAAAAAAGAACAATACTGTTTGTTTGCCGCTTCATTATATGGAGCTGAGGATCAAAACCTGTTTAATGAAACAGAACTCGCGCTGCAATCATTTTTATTGACCAGGAGCAGAAGGAGAGCGGCTTACCTTTCCTGCTGGTTTTTACTGCTCCCATCATCACTCTCAGGTGAATATTTAATGACACCAACACAGTGTGATTCTGTCCTTCAGAGTGAGGTCAAAACGACAGCCTTGAATGTGAGATTGTGAGTGTCGCTGTTGAATGTTTAATGACGGTATCATGTAGTCTCCCTGCTGGCCCCTACTGCCTGCGTTCAGCTGTAATATGTGGATTTTAGCCAGCGCGTTAGTGCGGCCACTGTAAATAAACCCCCTGCAGAGCCACGGAGAAGGAAAGAGAGTGGACTTAGCCTGCCAGAGAGAGTGACCTTATCACATCACATTATCTGCTCCATTATTCATCGGCCACACTGACCCTAAGGATGGCATTTTTACACAGTCTGTTAGGACGTCTGTCATCACCAGGGTGGGTTCCAGCCCTGGCTGCAGGCCACACACACATCTATCTCCACACTAACGGCACACAGTTATTCATTATGTCACCACCTGCTTCCAGGTCTTACAAGTACATTCTGTTTACCAGGGAGGCCTGAAATTAGATCTGAAAAGCAGCTATATTTTTGCATTGCGCTATACCAGCGGAGACATGTTCTTTTTATGTTGATACAGATAAATAATACATCTTGAGAAACCGTGTATCTTGCCTCGGCCGCCCTAACTGACATTCCACAGGCATCCAACAAACCTGCAGATGTTAAATAGTGCAGAAGTGGTTTGGTACAGCTGTGAGTCTTACGTTGGTTTTCCTGCGGCACCGTGAAAGGTTTAGATAGAGGGAGACTCGCAGGTCTTTCAAGCCTTTCAGCTCCTCTGCTTGCCCCTCACGTGGTAGTTTCCTTAGGGCATACTGATAACGCTGGCCTGCTTCTTTCATACGTCCCTTCTGTGAAAGAAGAGAAAAACTCAAAGGGGGTTACTGACAACTAATCGTTTTCCCACCACATGTAACATGTAACATTGGCTATACCGCACCTTGTAAAGTAAGTTCCCTTCCTCCATCAGCTTCTGCAGCAGGATGAGGAGAATGTCTGGTTTGGAGGAAGCCATAGCCCACGTAGCATGACCTGATGGAGGGGTACAAAAACTTTTTGTATTATCCTGCCTCACCTTATCTCTTGTTCTTTGGATGTTAAATATGTCACATATGTCGGGTACCTGATCGATCGTGCGGAGCCGTTCTATAGCCTTTTGTTTGATAACGGGGAGCAACCAGGGATGGAGAGAGAGAGAGGTGAGAAGGGAGTTAGACAAGTGGATGTAAAACTGCTCGTGTGTGGCAGTAATCAAAGATCTATCAAGCCGTAAAGAGCCACTGATTAGTTTAAGGCGAATACGAGCGCACTTTGAGTGATGGGCTTAGCCTGAGACGCGTCGATTCAACTTTATGCTATGTTAGACGTCGTGCCGCAATTAGTGAAGAAAAATTGTTGTACAATAATTAGTTTTGAAGAGGAGCAATGATGGGAGCAAAGTTGTCATGGCAACGGGATCTGGGGCCTGGTCTTCATACATTGCTTTAAAAAAAAAAAACTCAACTAGGTGACTAGGTTAGGACCATGTAGGAGGAGTTACCTCTTCCTCTGAACCACTGCTATCTTGTCGGGTGTTTGTGTCTTATCACAGCCTTGTTGGTTCTCAAATACTTCATTCATAACTGTTTGGAAGGAAATATCACATTTTTTTTCATAATGTGTGGGACTGATAAATAATTCCCTTTTGAATGAAGTAGCTCTTCTCTAAAAAGCAATAAGTCAGGGCACGCAGCATTGCCTTGAGACAAATGTGGTTCAGACAACTGATTTAAGGGATCCTGATGATCGTGCAATATTCTCTCTACTCCAAATGCTCTTGTTATTACAGTAACACAACATTTGTTTGTGCTTATTAAATGTAGTTTCGTTTTTTTTGCCTGATTGCTTATGCCTCAAAGATGCAGAAAAATGTATTTTATTCTTTAGTTTCATGGCAGCAAGAAGGCCTGGTCGGTGTTGACCTTTAAGGTGTGAGGTTTGGGTGTTTCATCCATGCCTGTGTGGGTCACAGTCTAAAGACATGACTGCAAGGTTAATCCCACAGGAAAAAGAGACAACTTGCATTTGAAGCCGTTACTCAGATAACCCCACTTTCTGTTTTGGTTCAAAACCCCTTCACGGGTGTAAGACTGCTTGAGACGCAGACGTGAAACTGAATCAGTAGCCTGTAATCAATCAGTGTGGCAGACTTCAGTGACAGGAGAAGAGAAAGACGATGAATGGGTAAAGTTGGAACGCTACGGGTACCCATGCATCTTCACTGCCTTGCTCCTAACAAAGCAAACACATATAAAGTTGTGCTTTTCGTGTTTTCATTGCACACAATGCGAAAAATGTACAGTATAGACTATACTAGGTAAGTGAACCTCTGCGATTAAATAAAATAAAGGCAAGCAAAATGTGGTTAATTATAAACGCTTAAGTCTGCTCTTCTTGGAAAATATAGCCTGGTTTGGTTCATCATAAATCCCTGCAGGAAACCCCTGGTGGAGGTTGTTGCTGCTAAAGGAGGTTCTACCAAGTTTTAAATTCAAGAGATACTTATACTATATTGAAATATTTCTATGGTATACTGCTTTTACTCCACTACATTTTGAGTCCAATCATTATGTTTTTTACTCCATACTAAGCTTTACTTGCTTATTATTTTACAAAGTAATTGCATTGTTACAGTTTAAGCTAGTGAGCAACATATAAGTAATTAAACTACCAACAGCTGCAACAATAAAGAGATATATGCATCAACAAATCAATAATAATAATACAACAATATCAAGTCATGATTCTGAAAAGCATCAATTCAAATGTGCAAATTTAATTTAGATTCAGGTTCTTTAAATATATTTGAATATATAATCTCTAAAGTAGTAAACTACTTACTACTAGAATTTTAACTAATTAAATAATAAGTTAAAATATTTTTTTCCACACATTTCTATCACATGATCACCTTTGTGTAGTTTAAGCAATACTTGTGCAGCTTTACTTTTCACATAATAAATCTGCGTATGATACAGGGCTGCATATGAGCTTGACAATTATATTTTGCACACCATTTACTTTGCACCCTTATTAAACATTTCTTTGTGTCTCCTCCTGAAATCAAACCAGGGATCATTTGCTCTTTAAGTGAATTTGTAAACCACTGCACTCAGATAAACCTACAAGTTTCAAAACCTTTTTTTTTTTTTTAAGATGTGGCCTTTACTGCAGGCCTGCTAAAGTTTAAACAAAAAAAAGGTTCATACCCATTTTGGATCCCTTCTTAAGCAGCGACGCCACCAGCGCCGGGTTCTGGCAGCCAGTCGCTCTCTCCGAAACTCTGGAACTGTTGTCAGCTCTCTCCAGCACCGCTCCATTTTCCACCAGGCAATGCACCTGAACAGTCATTGAACAATATTAACATATTTATATTTAAATTAATTACTTCAGCGATGAAATGCTGATTTTTAAATAGTCTCATTGATTATGAGCAGTAAGCCTCACTAAATTAGCAGACGGGCGCTCTGCTGCTGACTTTGGAAAACTGTTGATTATCAAAGTCTTTGATTACTCTCCTGCTCATCAGCGGAACAAATCAAAGCCAAAATGCTTGGATTGAAGGCTGGCTGCATGAACTGTTGTGGAAATCTGAGGTCTTGTGCAGAGCGCCGCATGAAGATTGTTATGGTTATTATAGTAATTGCAACATTTATCTACAATTTATTGCAATTATGTGTTGCGTGTTGCTAATCATCTTTTAATTGCATGTTTTGCAGAATATTGTCAATAACCATTAAACCCACTGTATCTGCATCCCCGTTAAGGGCAGCTAGGTCAAGCGGAGTCCGCCCCTGTCTGTCTGGATGGTTCAGGTCAGCTCCTGCCTCCATCAGAACCTGCACTGCACCTTTCTGGCCCTTCATGCAGGCCCAGCTAAGTGCAGTCAGCCCCTCCTGATCAGCAGAGGACAGAGAAGCACCTGGGACCACAAACAATAAAAGTATTGCTCTCCAGTTCATATATATACACTTCAAACAACCTTGGATCTCACTGTAAAAGGTGCTTACTCTCACCCTTTGACAGCAGGAGTTCAACCGTGCTTGCGTGGCCCTCAGAGGCGGCCAGTATCAGCGCAGAGCGTCCCTGCTTATCAGTGGCGTCGATGTCTGCACCTTGCTTCAGTAGCAGCTCGGCAACCTGGGAAAGTGAGAATAAATAATTTTAAAAATTGAAAAAACAGAAGACAGAACTGGTAAGGAGAAGAACCTCCTCACCTGTGTGTGTCCATGTTTGGTAGCACTAAGCAGAGGGACCATTCCTCTGCGGTTTGCTTCCTCGAGCCCTGCCCCCCGCTCCAGGAGGAAGGCGCACATCTCGAGCCTCCCTCTCCCTGCTGCTGCACTGAGCACTGACAGAGGGTCGGCATAGAGATGAGGAGGCGAAGAGAAGAATATGTAATTGACACATTTAGGAGAGAAGTAGAAGCCGAAGTGAGAAACAGAAAGGAGACAAAAAAAGAGGCCTGTTATTTCCATAATCTGTATGATTCTAACACTTTTCTGCTTTTAAATGTAGATATCTGAGAAACACACTTTCTGTTACACAACGCAATAAAAAAAAAAGCAAGCAGCATACAGTTATTTCTAATGATGACACACCAAACAATCTGCACCCCACCCTAATCAGCCAGTGTTATTCTGACAAACTGTGGGCACTGACCATTTTTTCCTCCCCAGTATGCGAGTCCCTCAGCTAATTGAGCTGCTGGGGACAGAGGCACGGTATTGATGCTGTACTGGTATATTCTCCAAGTACCCTTGATAAATGACATTCTGTTTAATGTGTCCACATGCTTCAGTGGACAAATCTATTATATAACACTGTGTTTAAGGAGGAGTTATTGCCATATGAGTCAAAGAAAAAAACAACAAACCCCCTCGCTGTGCAGCTGCCTGTGTTTAAGACGAATTTGTGGAGCTGCACAATGGAGCAGCGGGATCAGTGGAACTGCTGTTTTCAATACAAACTAAAGTGAACAGGTGAAAATATTCTTCTTAAAGGGGACCTATTAAGATTTGCTTTATTTTCTGCACTGTTACAATGGTGGATGCTCGTGTTAAACATGGCAAAGATTTTAAATTATGGGCTGAAAGCTCAGGATTCAGTTTTTGCCTATCTAGGCTATTTATGATTTCACTGGGGGAGCAGGGATATCCCTAATATGATCCTCTCAGGCACACAGCTTTATTTGGATCCATCCATTTTCTTGTGTGGGGCTTGAAGCCTATCTTGCAGTTTTGGCGGTCGGTCACAGTGCTAGCACAGAGAGACTGACAACAACACACTCACTCATCCATATCTATGGCTAATTCAGAACCACCGATTAGTTCATTAAGCATATTTTGGGCTGTGGGAGGAAGCTGGAGGAGACTAGATCTACCGGAGGTTTCTTACTGTTAAAAGGGAGTTTATCCTTCCCATGGTCGCTAAAGTACTCGCTCATGATTGTTGGGGTTTTGTCACACGCCAAGGCCAGTTCTAACCCACAGCCTTCCTGCTGCGAAGTGGCAGTGCTGACCACTGCACCCACGTGCCACATCAAAGATAAATAAAGTTTAGACTTTAACATTTTAGTGTCTAAAATGTTAAAGTTTGAAAGTAGAATAGGGGGTCCCCTTTAAAAAGAAGATTTAAAAAATGTGATATGCATCACTCACTCCCCAAACAAGTGGAAATCCTTGGTTCAGTAATTAGACTTTAACATGTACCTCGAATGACCACTTTGCCTTTGCTAATGGACTCTAATCTGATCATCCCAACACTAAACATAAAACAAAGCAAGAGCAGTGCCCACACAAAGGTGAATGTTCACAAGGGTACTTTGTGCTTCCTTTTTTTGCTGCTTCGGTCCTGCAGGGGACTGTGTAATAGAATTATAGCATAATGGTGCTGTAGGCACAGAAACAGGCCGTGTGTCTGACATGCTTTCAGGAAATGGACTTAACAGAATTCTGCAAGCTGCACTATCACATCCATGACAGAGGTAAACGTATTACAATTGAATAGCAGCTGCTTTTAGATTTTACGAATGCGACTGGACATAAGATAATCAGACGATAAATGTGATGCTCCATTTATGCCAAAAAACAAATATGATTTACAATCAAATCTGCTTTTTGATATCAACCAGAGCATCTTAAAAAAAATAAATCGTACTACTAAAAGCAGCTAATGGATATTGTTACGATGAGCTCCTGCAGCCCCCCTGACATACAGGTAAGTTTATTGTGTGTCCCCTGCACAGAGCTAAAATGTGCATGAAATGCAACCCCGAAGCCCTTGAGCATGACTCTAGGACCACAGTGACTGACAGAAAGAGGTGAGAAAGCTAAATTTATCTGAGTGGTAGCAGAAATGCACCCGTTTCTCCCCAGAGTGAGTCGTGAGCGTCCATCTGCACCGCCAGCTGTTCATCTTTCAAGTCCAGCAAGCTTTTCACCACCTGCAGGAAAACACAATTTACAGTCTTCTATTGCTGGCTTGCTGCACACAAAACAGAGCAAAGCACCCACAGACCTTGAACAGAAAATAACAAACCACATCTAATGAATCCTCTGCATCAGCCAAGGACAAGCACCACGTTCCACATAGAGACGAATTTCAGCAATTTTAAAAATGTTTCTGTCAGCGGGACCTTGATCTGATACATACCTGTGTGTGCCCCACGCCGGCTGCCGCTGTAGCTGCCTGCTGTGCTGCCTGTGTTTTTCCAGTCACAGTCTCACCGCTGTGGTGCTGCTGTGGGTCAGTGGGAATCTCCTCTCCCCAATCCTGGCCCAGCAGGATGTTGATGATTTCTACATGGCCCTTCAGCCCGGCGTGGACCAGCGCGCACTGGCCGCTCTTATCAGCATGGCTCACCTGGCGCAGAGGGATACGCAGAAGGACTTAGAACACTGACCCTGGCTAGTGCCTGTAATACGCTGGCCTAGATCAGCCCAATATACTGTGTGTCATCCTTCTCCTAGAATAGATCCCGGAGCTGTGGTGAATGTAAAACTGGAGCGGTTCCGGACATCAGTGATGTAGAGATACTGAGAGGCAGAGTGTTCTGTCACAGATTAAAATCTGATCTATTCACGGTAATTATGCCCGTTACGCCCTCCTAGCCCATAGTTGTCTGTCTTCATCTTGGCACAGAAGTGACACTGACCTTGCTCCCTTTCTTGCAGAGCAGGCTGACGATGTCGGCGTGACCCGCGGCGGCAGCCAGACACAGGGGCGTCATGCCGCTGTCGGTGGTACCATCTGCAGGAGCGCCCATTTCAAGCAGCAGAGCGACCATCTCTACATGACCCAGGTGGGCATGCACAGCCAGGATGGGAGCATGTCCTATCACCTCCGTACACCAGGTCACGCTAGCGCCACCGAGCATTAACAGACGACTCACCTACAAAATGAAAAGAAGTTCCGAGTTATCAGTTTGTATGAAAATATATATATGAAGAGAACATTTAAATATAGAGCACTGCAGTGTGTCACCTTGATATTAGGTGTATATAGGTTTCGCAGGGAGGCCAGTGCAGCAGACAAACTGTCGGTGCTGCAGTTTACCCACATGGCCTGCAGAACGCTGGAGGACACACCTGTCTTCTTACTCAGACCCTGTAAGTGTGACAGAGGCGCAGGCAGAGAGATGCCGAGAGTTAAAAACATTTTTCTGATGGAGAATTCGAATCGCTCCTCGGGATAACGCAGCAGAGTGTAGCTCACACACATAAGACAGTTCAATATTCACTGTTGATGTTTATGTTTATGAGTAGTGCTAATATGCGTGGGTGACAGTAGGAACCTGGGTTCACTCTTACTCATGTGTTTCCATGCAGCTAAACACGGTAAAGTATGGGACCTTGTTTATGTGAAGCTTTTGGATTCCTCAGCTACGCTCATAAACCTACTTAACAAGTTATATACAGAGTATCACATTTCCTATTACCTTGAATATGTGAGCCTTGAGGATGTGGTGCCCCATTTCCATAGTCTGCTGCCTGTTGAGCTTTCCCTCCTGTCTGGAGAACATGAATGCCAGGAGAGCGTGGCCGCTCCTGTGCGATTTACAAATAAGAAACAGGATACATTACCAAAAGTTCTAATCAAATAAATCTACGGTGCCGTGAGAAAGCATTTGCCGCTTCCTGATTTGTTATTTTTTGCATATTTATCTGACTTACATGTTTCAGATCATCAAACAAATTTTATTATAGGCAAAAATAACCCAAGGAAATACAAAATGCAATTTTTTAATGATTTTAAATTCAGCACTGTTCCAGCTTTTCTCCATTTGTGGATAATGGCTCTCACTGTGGTTCACTGGAGTCCCAAAGTCTTAGAACGACTTTGTAAACCGTTTCCAGACTGATAAGACATCAGGGATTTTGTTTCTCAGCTGTTTTGTGAGATTGTGACATGAACGTGTTGCTGTTTGAGATCTTTTAGCCTGCTTCGCTTTGTCATACAGGTTCTATTTAAGTGATTTCTTGATTCAGCAGGTCTTCCAGTAATCAGGCCTGGGTGTGGCTAATAAAATGTAATTTCGTTTTCTACAAAATGTGGGTAATTACAGTTAATCCATGATTTAACAACAGGGAAAATTACTTTTTCACATATGGTCAGGTAGGTTTGGATCAAATCCTAATTTAAAAACTGCATTTTGTATTTACTCAGGTTGTCTAATAATAACATTTGTTTAATGAGCTGAATTTTTTAAATCTTAAACTGATTTGTTATACATGAATCTTAAGAGTCCTCTGCTGCGCGACCATTTTAGTCTCACCTGGGGTCACAGAGAAAGTCGCTGCTTTCTCCATCAGCTCGCCAAACCAACCACTCTCTGAAGGAGGGATGACACAGCATCCGTGTGCCGTCTCTGCGTCTCACCTACGAACACAAGTGATAGTTACATTTCTTAAATGATTCCCTTAGCGTCCAACCAGATCTTCTTAGATGTCACTGGATTTTATTCACACATTATTCAAACCAGACAAAAGTTTGACTCATTACGGACGCCGTCACGCCACCATATCAACAATCTTACCATGAACCCAGCCAGGCTGTCTAATCTCTGCTGGAAGTCCTTCCACTCCAGCTCCCCCTTGACACTGCCTGCGTTCAGTGCTCTGAACATTTGCTCATCAGCCAGTGGGTGCAGAGACGCCAGTGCCACATTTAGCACCGGAAGCACCCGCTCAAAGAGCTCTTTATCCGGAAAGCTCACACGACACATCAGCAGGTACACCTAACAGACAGCACATGCTGTTAATCATTTGCAGTGGATTTTCTTTACTTTACATTAAAATAATGAAACAATAAACAATTTAAAAATATACAACAACACTGTTTGGCAAAATGTAGCTGGCAGGTAGCGCTTTGATGTGCTTTTGATGTTTGTGTGGTGGGTTTATGGTAAATATTAATCACATTATCAGGACCAACGTAAACATCTTCTGTAAAGCTAGTCTGCATGACAGCTTCTATAATTTTGCAGTACTGGATTCGATGCCATCTTGCACCTATTAATAAGCCGGTCGGAGGATTGCACGCATCATCATGATGGTAAAAACACATGTAAGTGTGAGTCAAAGGTAAAATAAGCTAAAAGTACAGTGTATTTCAAGAGCTTATGATTATTATTATTATTGTTATTAGATTCATCGGGCACTCCAGTTGTTTCTGTGTATAACTGTTGCCGTCCACAACCTTGGCCTACACATCCTTACCTCACATTTATGCTTCCTTTTTGTGGCATCATCCAATCTTTGTGTAATTGCATTTCTAAGTCATCCATTGCCTGACTTTACACCAATGATTATGTAACAATAAAATGTCATTTTTACCAAGAGCTATTTTTGGCACTTTTTATGAAGTTTCAGCCTTCTGTCACGTTTATTGATTTGAGCAGCGTGCGGGTACCGTTTCCTCTTCCTCCTGAAACACATCCCTGAATGTTGTTGCCCGTGTACCTTAATTGTGTGTAGATTTTATGAAGAGTGATTATTACTTCAGCCTGGAGCGAGATGCCATTTCACGACAGACAGCTCAACAGGATGACTGATAACTGTTAAGTGCTAGACTGTGAACTCGCCCAAATGTGGAGGAGGAGAACATTTCCAACAATGCACTTCAGGTAAAATATGTCTTTTTAACTCTGGAAGATTAAAAAATTGCAAATTACCTCTTTATTGAACTGATAACTCAGTGACACGCACATTATTCCACATCTGTGGTTCACAACCTTTTCTGTCATGCATAATTTAACAAACTACACCAGCTGGAGTGACGGATGCTGGCTGATTTTACAGTGTCAGACTTTTTAGAGCCCTTTAAAGGGGAGAACATTTTCTAAAGATCCCAAATACATCCTGACGCGGATTTAGCAAAGCGGACTGACCACAGACTGTATATTGAAGATTGCTGTAGATGCAATGACAGCAAACATTGGTTAGTGAAGTGTAGCTGTGAAGGCTTGAGATGAGCTTTTCTCCATCACCACCTTTACAGTTGAAATCAGACTATACAATGCGTGTTATTAGCCAATGAGCTGAGTCATTAGTTCATTAGCTAATTTACAAGTCGTTAGGGAAAGAGGTGGACTCTGGTTCACCTTCATTTCTGACCATAATTTACATGATGAACTTCACGATGACTTGATGCTAGAGACTGAGCCCTCTATTATCAAGAAAGTGCAGCGGCTACTTTAGAGTCTGTTGGGGCTGTAGGCAGACATTCACAGGAGACACCGTCAACCAGTGAACATCACTGTTATCTTATTTATGACACCAACAGTTAAAAATAATAATAATAATAATGAAATGTAAGAGGTCTTATTGTACCAATGGTAATTATGTGTCTTGGCTGTTCTATGCCCTCCAGATCCAAAGACCTACTCTACTAAAGTTAGACCTAAGCAGGATCAACAGGAGTCAGCAGATCCAGGTGTGCCCTAAGTGGTCAGGCCTCCACCAGTGTCAGGGAAAATTCTGCACTTTGCCGCTGCTGTAGTTTAAAGTTTGTCAGGTCTTTAGGGGCCCCCTCCCAACTGGCTTGGGACGCCCAAGCAGTTGCCTGCCTTGCCTGTTGTTCCATCAGTGCCCCTGGAAAAGTGTTTGCTATGGTCACTAATAGGCACAGGTGCCAAACTGGCCCTGGGGCTAAATGATTAAAGACTGAAAAATCACTGAGCTCTCGTGTTATTGTTGGTACTGCAGAAATTTTGTCTGTCATTGCTTCAGGTATGTTATGCTAGCAGTCTGACGCACACAGATAAATATCTAAATGACTGGGTATCTCATCTAAAATATGAACGCAGGTCACTGGGTTTCAAATAACTGACTGCTATGGGTGCGTGAATTAAGTCTGAGATGGTCAAAACATCATCTGATTTGTTGCTCTTAATTCCCAATTTCAGCTTCAGCGATTTGGAGGCTAGTAAAAAGTAAAGTAATATTACAGCACAGTAAATGTTGTCAGAAAAAATGCTGAACATCTGTTCAAGGTGGAGGTTTTTAATTCTTGCATACTGGATACGCTAATATAGACTTCATTTGTTTTGGATGGGTGGAATACATCAAATGTAATTTTTGGTTTTTTGAGCATCCTGGACAGATGATACATGAGAAAATGATCTCTGATCTGATATCCTTTTAATTTTGTTATTAATTCGAAGTACCGAAATAGTACCACTAAAATCTAAATGATACCCATCCCAAGTCCCAGAGCAAAGGAACCAAGGATTGTTTGTCGACAGATTTTTATACAAATGGAAGCCTTTTTGACAAAAGGGTCGGCCCCTACAGACCATTAAGAAGTATGCAGCTCTAAGACACTTTCACTCTACAGGACTTGCTGAGATATTTCTCCCTGCAGGCAGCTAGCTGGCTAGGTTTCCAGCAACAAGAAATGCTTTTTGCACCCTGAGAGAAGCGAGTGATTTCACAACAGACTGGCAAGACGGCCACCATCAAATTAGAGTTTCTATTAGTCTAAAGATAATGTGGAAGAGAGTATTCACCACAAACCCTACCCCTGTGTATACACAGATAAGCTGTAAAGCAGAACTTTTAGAACAGCTAATGTTTATTTCCTATTTGATTTACAGGGAGATTTATCCATTACTTTAGGCTAATGTGAACTACTTCGGTGCACGCTTTTATTTATGCTTGTCCAGTGCTTTGCTGTTCTGCACTCTCAGATTAGTAGAGCTTCCAGGTACCTTTCAGTAAGACGTTTCAAATGAGCATTTTTACAAATCAATGCTCTACATGTCTGACCTCTGACAGGGAGACAGGCACGACCAGGTAGTTTCCTCCCTTCAGTGCCAGATCGCCTTTGTGGAACAGATCCAGGGTCAGCTGAAGATAGAGGATGGAGCCGTGGCTCCGTGTTGACAGATGGCTGCTGAATTTGCTCAGGAGCAGAGGATCAGGGGCGGAACCTGTTGGCGTGGTGACATTAGCGGCAATCTGGGTGCTGCTGCTGACCCGGTGATGGATGTAGTCACTCAGGTCGGCTCCCAGATCGCTGCTGTCTGGCAGGATGTCCAGAGAAATACCAGAGAACGGAAGGAGGGTGGTGATATCCTGCAGGAGAAGAAACAGTTAAATTACTGCTGATACCACACAAAGGCACAATTCAACAGTTAAAGAGCTGCAGTCTGAGGTGTATTAGCAAAGGACACATTTAAAGCACCAAAATCAGGACCCATTCCTCAGATGCTGTTGCCTCTGACTCACGCAGAGCCATGGGATACAGTACAGTAAATACTGTGACAATGACTCAAGCTCCAACATTGCTCACAGGCATCTCTCAGATTCGCATTTCATCTCCTTGCTTGCCATCCTCAGCTGCTCAACACCGGCCAAAACCAGCTATGACTGATCAACTGATCAAAAACATTTTGGTTCAACGACAAGCAGCGGACATGTGATCGCGGACAGTGCTTCGCTTAACCCCTTCACAACACTTCACTGCGAAATATTCAGGTCGTCATACAAGAGCGAGCTCTTCCTGTGAAATGGTTGAAGTGGTAAAAAAGAGAGGAGAATCACGATCCACGTAGGAATCGTGGACACCGCAGGAGCGGAATTAACAGCGGTACTGCTCATCCTTAACTTTTGATATTTAATGCTCACTGACTTTTAGTGAATCATGAAGAAAATAACCGCGAATGTGTTTTGTGTATTCCCAAACACTAATCCAATTATGCAACCGACTGGCTGGCTGTCAAGCTCCAGACTCCCAGCAGACTCCCAGTAGTATTACCATCCATTCAAGGCATAATCCTCGCAACATTTGGAGGCTTGGCTTTGGCATTGGACAGATGCGTCCGCTGTTTGGTGGGATTACCAACCGGATTGAGAAAATACATCAGACGGGAGAGACCGACCGTGCCAAACGTCACACTGTCTATACTAAACGCAGTGAAAGCACAACATCAAACTACACAGTGTGTACAGGGAGCAAACACAAAAGAAGCAGGATTTGGTAATACCTCTATCATTTGCGTAGTGTGAGCCAAGGTGAAATCTAAAAAGTTAGTTCACCCAGAAAATAACTCACAGTGCCAGATATATAAATAGTTGCATAGGTCAGGAGATTTCTGCCTAGTTAAAGTTAAAGAGTTCTCGCCTGATCAGTAACAAGTAAAACACACAAAACATCGTGCTACAAACGAGACACATGGAACTGTATTTGAAGTGTTAGAAAATAAGTTTTCAATTATTCAAAAGCAACATCTGTTTTTCAGAAACAGCAGCTGTGATACTTCACAGTAAGATTTAGCAATTATACAGTATCTGGTAAATGTCTATAAATATACTTTCATCCATGTTATCAGAAGTCCTCACGGAGTGATCAAGAAGGATGAAGCCTTTTTTCAGCTAAAGCTCGATGAATAGTGAGGTACACCCATTTAAATATTAATTAAACTGGTTCCAGTGGTATCACCATAGATTGCATATTTTTAAAAAAATGAATGTAGCCTCCAGGTTTGAAAAGTGAAGCCAAAGCAGATGTTCCTCACGCTGCATTATTTCTAATGGTCCACTTGTATAGTAAACTATGGGAAAATTATGGTACTTGCCACTTTATTTATGATCTCAGAGTCTTATTAGAAACAGGATTAATTGTGAAAATTGCAGTCTCTCTTGACCCTTTTATCCAAAGACACACACATATTATTCCACAAACTAGAGGCAATAAAAATAGAATAAGAAAATTGACATACGGTATATATATAATATATATGTATACATATAGATATAGATATATTGCCTATTCATCTCAGCCAACTGTGATACTCTTAAAAAACTATTTTTATATGCATGATATCATCCTAATCACTGAGCGGGTGGGGCCAAGGAGAGAAACACAGATGTCTGATAGCCAGGCCCTGCCAAACTTTCTTGGCTTGTGGTCATTTAATACTGCCAGAGTATTGTTTTGAAGTAAGTCGTGAGTCACTAAACATTTAAGACCTCTGAGAATATTCTTGTTTAAAAAAGAATTTCCCACTTTTTCCCCACTATTTGTCCTTCAAGCTTGTGTCCTCTACCACAGGCGTGGGAGCTTCAGGGTTCTGCGTAGTACCTTTGTTGTTCCTAGGACTGCGTTCTTTTGGATAGAGATCTTGGCTGTCGTTCCTGGGATCTCTAGAGCCTCTTGCACAGTTTAGGGGTCACTGTCCCGAGCGCTGGGACCACTGTTGCCTTCACCCTCCAAACTTCTCGAGCTCCTCTCTCAGCCCTCGGTTCTTCTCAAGCTACTCATCTTGCTTCTTCCTGATGTTGCTTTCACTCGGTATAGCTGCATCAATCACTACAACCGTCTTCCTTTGCTTGTCCATGGCTACTATATCCGGTTGGTTAACCATCACCAGTTTGTCCGTCTTTATCTGGAAGTCTCACAGGGTCTTAGCTGGGTCATTCTCGACCACTCTAGGACGCGCAACCCATTTTTACTTTCCAGGCCATACTCACCACAGATGTTCCTGTATACTACGCCGGCGACTTGGTTATGGCATTCCATGTATACCCTGCCTGCTAGCATCTTGTACCCTGTTGTTATGTGCTGGATTGTCTCAGGGGCATCTTTGCACACCTGGGGTTTTGCCTGGTGTGGTAGACCCCAGCCTGATGACCTGCTCTACCTCCTGAGCTACAGCTACCCCAACTGAGATAAGTTGGAAAATGTGTGACATGTGCTGTGTTTCAGACATAAATATTCTCACTCACCACGAGGCCTGTCCTGACTGTGACCACCAACTTAAGCCAGTGGGGGAATTTGGGGATTATTTTGGTGATGAAGGTGGCTATGGTGTCCCCGTAGTCTGGCTTATGAAATTCAGCCTCATTTAGACTGTCAACCAAAATGATGTAGTCTTCTTCAGGTAGCCTCCGTTCTGATTACACACATAAAAAAGAGAGTAAATAATGAAACAGTGTCTATATCACTAACTTTGCAAAGGCCACAACATACAAACTCTAAAAAAGATTTATGCTGCGTATGAAGAAGACTGGTGCATCCTGGTTTTGTAGCACAGGATATGCTGAGAAAATTACCACCTGCCTATACTGATTATTTTGTACTGAAAGGAGTTCAGAGGCCATTGTTGTTTATTAGCTTGAAACAGGACATATCCATCATATTTTGCATCACCTAAGCTGTCAAAAAAAAAAAAAAGATCTGCAAGGCTTTTAGGTCTAGTACAATCACATTCACACAAGTGCTCTCCATTTTTTTCCAACCTGGTTTATAGAGATGGAGCAGATAAAAAAGAAAACAAGAAAAACACTTCTCTACTCAGACTGCATGGAGGGCCCGGCCATAATAACACATCCATCTGTCTGATTGATTGTATTACGAGAAAGCCTAACCCTAACATTCAAAGCCTTCTTCTAAGTATTTTGTGACCTTGGAATCACAAATTACAAAGACAAAATAACATCCTCCTACTTTCCTATGCAAATGACCAAGAATCTGTTACACACTCTACAGTGTTTCAAATCGTTGACCTTAACTAGGAAAAATCATCAATGAGCCCATCATGGAGTCATTAACAGCCCACCCTGAAACGGAAGCTATTTTAATCTTTAAAATGTCTTTTAATGTTTAAATCCCATTTATCTTAGAGTGTGTGCGTATGTGTGTAATTACCCTTGCGCAGGCTGGCTATGGGCTCTAGGACACCCTTTCGGAAGGCAGCAATGGGGTCTTGAACGCAGGAACGTAAGCTCAGTGTGTTTTGTAGGTGAGGCTCTTGTATTAGCAGCTCCCTGTATGGAGCGAGCTGTGGCGCTCTGGCCAGCAGGGCGGCGACACTGTGCACAAACTCCGGCACCAGGCACGTGTATGTGTTGTCGGCCTGACAGAAATGGTAGGCGACCACCTGGAAGGAGGGAGAAGCAGGTGAAAAGTGACAAATGCTGCAATCTGTATCTGTTTATCTCACAACAACAATATCTGCAGTTGAAGTAGAAGTGCACAGAGCCAAAACATGAGATGGAACCGTAGATGAAAGCTGGTTCTTGTTTTAATAAAAAAATAAGTACTGTAAAAAAAAAAAAAAGTCTTCAGCCACCCCTCATTTCTTTCTTATATCTTGCTAAATGAAAAATAGGTGCACTGATTTATTGAAACGTGCAGACATGGAAATACAGCTATCAGGGAAACTGGAGTATTCCCTGATAGCGTGAAAGTCAATATTTGGCATGACCACCTTTATTCTTAAACACCATTTTTGTCACTTCTGAGGCATCTTGTCAGTTTCTGTACACTATCTGTGTAATATGCATTAGTTGTGGGTTACTGGTTATGCACTGTATTCAAAATTGGCTGAATGAGAAACAGAGAGCAGAAGTGGTTATTTTTTGCAAGAGCATATTTCCCCCATACAGATAAATAGAACAAGAGAGAGAAGACATAGAAACAGCAATTTAACCCGGTCACCATGTCCTCACACCCTGCATGCTGTTATTGGCTGGGGGCTATACACCTGTGGCTCATAGGCTCCTCAGCCCAGAAACATCCAATGCACAGAAAACGTTGAAGAAAAGACGAACACGCCAGCAGGGATTCATTTTGTATCTGTACTTAAAAATATATTTATATATAACTGTAACCTACATTATTATTATCGTATAGTTCACACTTGTTCGCTTTGCTTATGTATGAAAACAAAGACATGTATGTTAATTTATCATGTTATTCTGTTGCTCTTCATTAAATCATTGTATGTAGTGAAATGGCAAAAACAGCTGTTCATAAACAAACAAATAAATAATAAAAACACATTTTATTGCTCTTCTTCTTTGCAAGCTACATTTTCACTGTATGAGACCGAGTAATCAATTACAGGCACTATTAGTGTCACTGCTTGATGAACACTTATGTGCATGACAACATCCCCAGTGCCACTGCACTAAAAATACTTTCGTAAAATGTGTTTACAAAGACCAACGTACACACAATGTCATCTGCTACACATTATTTAAATAATTTATAAAAATTGTAAATGTTATAAAAAAAAATCGTCAAAGCTATATAGATGTTGATAATCCTGGTACTCTAGGCAGTTTATATAGCAAGTTTCATCCAGATCGATATAGTAAGATACTTACTGTATAGTAAGATTATTACTTATGCATTTATTTATTCATTTCTTGCATTTTGGTTAATTGCAATCATAAAAAGTTAATTCCTATGCAGAAAACAATAATCTTAAATATTGTGAAACTAAAGAAATAAAACTAAATGTGACGAATACGAGCCATGATCTGAAATTAAAACAAGTGTCTTTTCTTTGTGATTTCAGAACAAATGTATGTACAGCTAAAAATGCATCAAACACTATAAGCACACAATAGAATTAAATATAAACACACATAAATGTATTCAGAAATCCTAAAGGTGGCTGAGTTATGAAATAGTTTCTCTAAAACACACTAAATACTGTAAAAAAAAAAAAAAAAAGAAGTATTAATTTTATCACTAATAATAAAGGTGACTTAAAAAATCAGCAGCTATGTGGTAACTGTTTTGCTGAAGCATAAACATGTGCAATCTTGTTAAGGTGCCAGTCTAGGCTATGAGTGGTTCACATATAATGCTACCAATGATTTTACTTTTGAGCAAACATCTTCACCATCACAAGTAGTCTGACTAGTTCCCATGGAAACTCTTATTGAGGCCAAGTTAGTAAATTTAGAAGCTTCCATGTCATCTATGTGATGCAGTCAGCAGCATGTTCTGCGCGTGTTCAAAAAAACAGAGAGGAACAGTCTGACATTAAAATTTTGTGTCACAAATGTGCAGCTCTTTAACAAAAAAGAGGAACAATGCTGCTTCTGCGTTTATCGCTTCGATCTTTTTTATGAAGGGCTGTTTTACAGTCATGGCTCTCCGTAGGACTGTTTGAGATGTTGCATTATATTACCATACTTACAAATCTAGTGACAACAAAACAACAACAACAAGAAAGAACTGGGCTACCAAAAGCACCATGACAAAATAATATATATCTAAAGGCATTCCTGAGATGTAAATGTAATTTTCTCCTGCAGGTGAGTCACAGCAGTCTGCTCAGCAACAGGATAAATAGCTATAAATGAGTGTGTTCTTCAGCTATATGTGTATGCAATCTCCTATCATTGTCAGGAGTGAACATCAGTCCTGAACATCAGAATGTTTTGTTTGGTGGATAACATTTGGGTTGAAATTCATTTTATGACTATTTAAATGTACGTTTTTTTGGCTTTTTGCCTTTACTGGATAGAGACAGTGAGATTAGGGGAACTAGGGGAGTAAAACGGTGCACATTTAAACTGGGTAAACTATAGGTCCCTCCAACAATAAAATTAGGTTTAAGTTAATAAGCCAGTAGTTTTCGTGGTTCAAGTGTCAATGTGAACCTGTATTCTTGCAGGTAGACGAAAAGACTGATACAAGTCTCAAACCTGTTTGCTGAATATGACACATTTGAGCTCATTTTGCTGAATTAATTTATACACACACACACACACACACACACACACACACACACACACACACACACACACACACACACACACACACACACACACATATATGTGGTTTTTTTAACACATAAAAATCACAATTATGCGATGAATAACCAGTCTTATTCAGCGCTGTGGGGAGGCGGGAGCTTGTTCAAGCTGTCACAGTCGCACTACAACACCCAGGACTGGTTGGCGGTCTGCCATAGGGCTGTACAGTATAGCACATGAACCTGGTAAAGAAACGAACTGTGACGTGTACATTTTCATGTGGATCAAAGGTACCAGAGAGAGATGGTGGCAGTTTTTGGGACTATGCATTTCCCCCTTTTTCCCCACTCTTTTATGCTTCAGCGACTTTATGGTTTGACAGTGGCATCGATCTTGTCATCCGACTCCCCCAGAGAGCAAAAATGCACACTCCTGGAGTGTGGAGCTATTGTTTTCAGGTTAGAATATGAACTATGAGGGAACATTTGTAACTGAGGATCTTCACACGTACAGAAGTACTAGAAGTGCATTCGTGTGTGTGTTTTGAGTTACCCTGGCAGCCAGGGATCTGACAGCCTCCTTCCTCGGCGGTGTGCTATCGCTTGTGCCTGAAACGTTGCCCTGGTTGGGATGGGAATCAGCCGGCTGCTTGGAGGCTGCTTTTCCCTGCCTATCCCCACCTGCACACCATGCAGAGCAACAACAACAACAAACTCTCAGGTGTAAGCAAAGAAATGTCACGAGCCTATAAAGAAACACAGTTAAACTGCTGCAATTCATTAGCGCATAAGATAGACGGGAAACTTTGGCACTGAGCAAAGCCTGCATTTCTCTGAGCTCATGCTAACTAACGCTGTCTTAAAGCTAAATTAAAATGACAACATACAATGCAGATATGGATAAATAATGCAACGGTGCTGAAAAATGAATGCTACACTGCTTTTTTTTTTTTTTTTTTTACACTGCTGTTTTCTCAGCCTGTAATTTTAACAATGCTTCTTATTGTACAACAGAAAAAGCCTGAGATCAGTCAAAAGGTGCATATATGGACATTTTTATATCGGACAGAGTAACACAGTTTATTCAAAAACAATGTGCATGTCACAGTGTGTAACGCGGATTTATGTGCAAAATCTTTTTCTTTTTTCCTCTCCTCAGATAAAAGAGCCGTGCCACTCATGAAAGGAGGAAAACAACAACCTCACTCCCCTTACACAACTGCAATCAGCAGAGAAACCTCAGGGGAGAACTTGAAAGAAGAGTGTTTGACCTAGTTACCAACTCCTCAAAAAGTGATGTTTCCTTAAATTTCATACATATACATATATATATATATAATTTTAAAAAAAAAGCACTTTTACTAGACTGTACTGGATACTCTATGAATTATGCCAGTCCTTGCAGATGCATACAAAAACAAATTACAGTGCTCTGAATTTTTTTTTAAAAAAAGGAAAGCTCTTACACTTAGGGGAGGAGCCGGGGCTGTGAGGGATGCTGGGACCTCCCAGTGATGTACGCATGCCGTGACAGCTGAGCGTCACTAGCCTCCAGATGACGGCGGTCTTGCCAGATCCTGCGTTACCCACAATGACAGCACCGCGTCCCTCACAGCTGCGTGTTTTTCTAAGGACCTCCTCCAGACGTGTGAAGAGCCAATCCCGGCCAACGAAAGGTGTTTCCGTGGTGATGCCGGGAACTTCAAATAGAAGCGGTTTTAGCATGATGTCAGCTTGTTTGAATGGTACCAATCGCCCTGGATAGAGAGAAAACAATCGAGATAAGTATGTAAGAACTCATCACCCCATGTACAGTACTGTGCAAAAGTCTTGAGCCACAACTCATTTCTTTATGTTTTAGTGAGAAAATAGGAAATATATACACTGATTTATTTAAATGTGAAAACATAGAAATAATAGAATTTATTAGGGAAAACAAGAGTTAAAGGGAGCATTTTGGGAAACCACTACAAGGTAGAGGCTTTCCTTGGAGAAGGGGGCTTTGGTATTGTAGCCAAATGTCGTGATACCATGACCAACCGAGCTGTGGCTATTAAGGTCAACAAGAGCGACCCTGATATTCTGCAACAGGCAAAACTGGAAATTTTCATCCTGGAGCAGCTGAGAAGGTTGGATCCAGACGCTGCCAACATTGTTAAATGGAACGGCTTTTTCCACGACGGGGAGTGGGTTTGCTTAAAGTTCGAACTCCTTGATCAATGCCTGTGGGACTATATAGGGGACCGGAAAAACCAGGGTCTCCCCATAAGCGAAGTCAGGCCAATTTTAGGTCATCTCACAAATGCTCTGTCCCACCTGGGTTCTGTGGGAATAGTGCGCGCTGACCTCAAACCTGGAAACATCATGGTTGTAAATCGCTATGAGTCTCCAGTCAAAGTCAGACTTATAGACTTTGGCCTCGCATGTCCTGCGTCTGCAGTGATGCCTGGTGACCGTGTGGGGACGGTTGGTTATAGTGCACCTGAAGTTATGCTTGGCCTTCCTTACAATGAAGCAAGTGACATGTGGTCTCTGGGGCTGGTAGCTGTGGAGCTTGGTACAGGCGTGCCACTCTACCCTGGAAATGAAGACTATGATGTTTTGAAATTCATCATAGAGACTCAGGGTCAGCCACCAGATCATGTTCTAGACTCTGGCGTGTACAGTGAAGACTATTTCATTGAAGACAACGACAACCAACAGCGCTGGACATTTAAGACTGACCAACAATTTCAGTACGAGACAGGATATGAGTCCCTGGAGACAAGATACATAAAACTGACGCGTCTCGATGACCTCGAACAAGTAATGATGTTTAGAAGAGGACCTGAAAATGGCCAACGTTTGTTTGTAAGCTTAATTAAACAGATATTGGCCTCGGATGCAAACCAGCGCATAACACTGTTGGAGGTTCTCCGGCATCCCTTTTTCAACCCTAAGAGTTCCCCTTGCATTGGCATGAGTGCTGAAAGACCACAAAACCCTGTGGTCTTTCAGCACCCTTCACACTTGAAATGCAAGAGATCAGAGAAAATCAACTGCAGTTTTCAAAACTCGGTTGAATTTTCTCAGCAAGTATTCGTCCGCACGTCAGCCAGCCCATCCTTTGGCTCAGATGAGCTTGAAATAGTTGAAGGGAGCATTTTGGGAAACCACTACAAGGTAGAGGCTTTCTTCGGAGAAGGGGGCTTTGGTATTGTAGCCAAATGTCGTGATACCAAAACCAACCAAGCTGTGGCTATTAAGGTGAACAAGAACCGCACTGATATTCTGCAACAGGCAAAAAAGGAAATTTTCATCCTGGAGCAGCTGCGAAGGTTGGATCCAGATGCCGCCAACATTGTTCAATGGAATGGCTTTTTCCTTGACAGAGAGCGGGTTTGCCTGAAATTTGAACTCCTAGATCAATGCCTGTGGGACTACATACGGGACCCGGATAACCGGCGTCTCCCCATAAGCGAAGTCAGGCCAATTTTAGGTCAACTCACAAATGCTCTGTCCCACCTGGGTTCTTTGGGAATAGTGCACGCTGACCTCAAACCTGGAAACATCATGGTTGTAAATAGCTATGAGTCTCCCATCAAAGTCAGACTTATAGACTTTGGCCTCGCATGTCCTGCATCTGCAGTGATGCCTGGTGACCATGTGGGGACAGTTGGTTATAGTGCACCTGAAGTTATGGTTGGCCTTCCTTATAACGAAGCATGTGACATGTGGTCTCTGTAGCTAGTGGCTGTTGAGCTTGTTACAGGGGTGCCACTCTACCCTGGAAAAAAATATTATGATGTTTTGAAATTCATCATAGAGACTCAGGGTCAGCCACCAGATCATGTTCTCGATTCTGGCGTGTATACTGAAGACTATTTCACAAAAGACAACTACAACTACAACCAACAGCGCTGGACATTTAAGACCGCCCAACAATTTAAATACGAGACAGGATATGAATCTTTGGAGACAAGATACATGAAACTTAAACGTCTGGATGACCTCGAACAAATAATGATGTTTAGACGAGGACCAGAAGATGGCCAACGCTTATTTGTCAGCCTAATTAAAGAGATGTTGGCCTTGGATGCACACCAGCGGATAACACCCTCTCAGGTTCTACGGCATCCCTTTTTCAACCCTGGCCTCTCCAACAGGTTCCCAAGTATCAACACTGAAAAACCATACAGAGTCAATCTCTAGCATGGCATCTTCCACCCTGGACAAAAGTGATAAAAACACAAACTGGGGTTGGAAAAGGATATTAACAGCAAATTACACTGGAAATATTAATTAAGCTGCTCCAATAAATATCACTTTGGCTTTTTTAATTTTTTTATTTTCACTAGTAGTTAGAAATCCAAAGTTGCACATTGATGATGATTTCACATCACTAAGCAGGTTATCAAATGTGGACAGAATGTTAGCAGAATCTTATAATTCTCATAAGATTCTGTTTTTGTGTCATTCAATACAATGTGTTTATGTCTGACATACTGATATGAATCATAGTATCTTATGGAATTCCAAAAATGGCTGCCAGGACAGCTGCCACCACACTGATGTGACACACTACAAATCAACTCTTTGATGCTCTGTGCTGAGTCTGCACAATAACCTGCACTTAAACATTCATTTAATATCACGTACACATATACACATACTGTCCCTCAAGAAGACACTGAGAAAAAATAAAGAATAACATTGAGACTAACTTTGCCATAAGTCATAGGTGTCAAACTCTGGCCCGCGGGCCAAATTTGGCCCACAGCCTAATTACATTTGGCCCGCGAAGCCATACCAAATTACTATTAGAGCTGGCCTACTGGTATTATACAGCTAATATATATATTGTTTAGTATTAAGCTTTGCTTGTTCCATATTCAGTTTTCCAGCAAAACTTATTTGAGTCCATAAGAAAAGAGTCATTCTTATATCTGGAGGAAGATTTTTTTTTTTTTCAATAAATATTATTGTTAGCCCGCGACTTTGTTCCAGTTTTGAATTTTGGCCCACTGTGTATTTGAGTTTGACACCCCTGGTCTATAGTCTATAGAAGCACCTTGTTAATCTGGCTAGCATTACTTGATGACTCCACTCTCCTCCTCCTCTAAATATGGCCACTTCTGGATTCAAAAGCTGGGGCTACAAAATGCCGCAAACCAGTGGTATGCAGTAGCAGTCTATAGTGGCTACATGCTGCATGCAGTTGTACTTGCTCAAAAAATACCTTTGGAGTCATCACTTGTGCGTCCAGATGTGTTGTGTTTGCGAACAGAGCCTCTGTGCCCAGTAGCCCTTTGACT